TCTATCTATTATCTGTTTTCTGTCATTCCTTACCAGCAATATATCAACGTATACTACAAGCTATGGTTTAAATTACTCTAAATTAATTTAATTTTCTGGATGGGGGATTTGAATTTGTCTGCAAAAGGGGCAGACTCACTGCCTTGACCGACCAATACAACTTAGTTGGGGTTGGAAATAAGATCCTCCTATCCTCAGTGGCGGATCCAGGAATTTCCTCTTCGGGGGTCAATGTATAAAAGCTCCAGGAATTTCCTCTTCGGGGATCAATGTATAAAAGCTCACAAATTTTTTTAGACAAATCTAGAATGCATTAACCAATCTACAAAAATTTAAGACCATATTATTATTAAACAATCTTACAAAGATTCAATGCATAGAGTAAGCAACTTTAAATTTATTACGACACTAAGAAAATTTATAAATATTGCGGCTGTAGGACAAAAATATGTGATACCCTACGAGTGATGTTTCCTGGGTTAAAAAGGAGGAGCAAGAGATAAATTCAAATCTGATGAGCTTTCAAGAATCGAAGGGAGCTTCATTTTGATTTTTTTTTAGATTGAAATAAGTCATGGTAAGAAAATTGGTGGATTTTTCTTCAAGTTTTTTTTCCCCCTGAGTTGTTATTTTGTGTTTTCCTCTTATTTTCTTTTATAGACGAAGTTGTCACTCAGGATTTGAGGAATTTGTGAGTATTAATTATAAAATAAGGAAAATAAAGAAAAATATTATGAATATTATAAAAAAGGGTTTTTCATCAAAGAGGAGAAGGGAGAAGAGAGAAAGAAAAGAAAAAATAAAAAGAGAGAAGGAAAAGCAATAAAAAAGAAAGAGAGGGAGGAGAGAGAAACATGTACCTCTCCAAGCTGCACTCGTAGGTTTTATCGGGCAGCAGTTTAATTTTTTTTTAAAAACACCTTAGCCAAAACGACGTCGTTTTGGCAAGGGTTTTTTTTTTTATATATAAAAACTCTTAAGTGGAACGACGTCGTTTTGACATAGGGAGAAAAAAAAGACGACTCTGTTGAGCTCTGCGTGCTGCTTGCTGCTTACTGCCTGTGGTGCTGTGGCTGCTTCCTCTTTGTGGCATTTCATCAAACACCTTCTGGGCAATTTTCAGGGGTCAAGTTCTTGGCCTCCTATGGTAGATTCTGGGTTTGCAGGGGTCAATTGACCCCTCTTGCCCCTATGTGGATCCGCCACTGCTCGCAGTCGTTGTCATTCTTCGTCGGTCGGTGATGCTGGGATCTGTACGAGAGGCAAAATTAGTAACAATCTTGGCACGGGTGTGGTATCGGCAGAGTAATAGTACACGTGCCATATGGTAAACATACTATAAGTAAAATTACCAAAGTTCCCCGATTCTAATTCCTTGATTTTCCTATTTAAGTTCCCTAATTCATGGTTTGCACCATTTCTTCCTGATAGGTAAATATGTCATAAGTAGAATTACCCTATAGGAACCGGGCATTAAAACTTCTTTTTTCACTCCGAGGGCAAGGACCCTGTAGCTCAAGTAGTTAAGGATATTTACTTTGCACTCAAGGATATTTATTTATAAAAATAAAAATAAAATATTCATCTTTATTCCAAGGGCACTACGCCCTTTTGAAACAGAATAATTTGGTACATGAAGTTGAAATTGGATAAAATAAGCACACAACAATATTATACACATATATATATGAGCCATGACCCTATGCAAAAAGCTAGAGCCAATATGACTACTGGGCAGTGCTTTTGGCCAAGACAAACTTCTCTCTTTTATGTTTCTGATAGTCAAGCAGTCTTCCATGATCAGGCAGGTTCTCTTTGATCACAGGCACTTGCTTAAAATTCTGAGCCCATGCGTGCAAGCGAGGCAGAGTGCCTGGTTCTATCACTTTTTTCCCTACTGCTTCTTCCACGCATTCAAACCAGTAGCTCAGAGCTCCAAGGGCAATGTCCACCAGACCAATAGTATCGCCGCCGAAGAATATTTTGTCTCCAAGGCCTTGTTCTTCCAAGATTTTTAGAGCTTCATGCAACTCTTTTGTTGCCTTTTCTTGTTCTTCGTCTCCAACAGCTCGAAAATATGCACTAAGGCGGGGCGGTATCTGGAAAGGAGAACAAAAAAAAAGAAGAGATCGATGTCAATATGTTTTCAAATTCAGAACCTCCTACACGTAAAATGTAATTAATTACCTTCTCTACTCCAAATTGTATCCAAAATCGAGCAAGGGCTTTTTCATGAGGATCTTTTGGAAGCAATGGCTTCTCTGGCCATGTTTCTTCGATGTATTCGAGGATGATGAAGGACTCAGCAATCGTCTTGCCGCCATGGACAAGCACTGGCACCTTCTTGTAAACTGGGTTGGACTGCAAGAGCAACTGGCTCTTGTTTGAAAGATCTTCTTCTATGTACTCATAGCTCACACCCTTGAGCTTTAGAGCCCATATCACTCTGTGAACAAAAATGCTTGGCCAAAATCCCAGCAGCTTCACTTCTGCCATTGTGTTGTGGTGAGATGTTTGAAACAAATGGGTTTAGAGTCTCTCCTCTCTTGGTGCCAGATAAATTCAGTTATATATATATATAGAAATATGTCGCAATCTCCTATGCTTGGGCGATAAGTTTCAAAGTTGAAAATGGGAATAAACAAACCAAAATCTTTAAAATGTCTTCATTTTGATGATATTAAATTATGTGCTCACCTAAACCTTATAGCTTTTCCTGAGTAGTCAATTAATCACCTCTGTGGGTCTTATCTTTGAACATTTCTAATTATTATTATCCATAGGTTTGCGATAAGTTTCAAAGTTGAAAATGGAATAAACAAACCAAAATCTTTAAAATGTCTTCATTTTGATGATATTAAATTATGTGCTCACCTGACCTTATAGCTTTTCATGACTAGTTAATTAATGACCTTTGTGGGTCTTATCTTTGAACATTTCTAATTACTATCCATATGGGACAAGTTCAGAATTGTTTAAACTATTATACAAGGCTTCCTATTTTCAATGCGAACAAACTCTCAAAATGCAAATTACACCAAAAGTGAGATTTTAGGAATAATAGATTTCTGGTGTAAATACGTGTTATTTATGAGTTTAGTGTTTGTTGATTTTTATGACAGAAAAAAGCTTGACTCCTTAAAATTGAGGATGTCACATCCCGAATCGGCTCCGTCGTATATATATTATAGCAGTCTAAATTTTGGTTGCTAATATAATACTCTCTGAATTTTGACTTGGCTTTAGTGGTAAGACAAAATGAAATGTTAGTCCTGCTTGGAAAATGAATGAAAGTGACATGCCCTTCTTTTCTTTTTCGTTTTTTTCTTTTTTATAACATTAGGAGGAAAGAAACCCCTTGGGATATGTATCTCTTTTTTCTTTCTCAAATTTCTATCTTTTTAAAAGTTCTACATCCACCGAATGGAAAATTTGAAATTATTTTGACAGTGATATTTGAGGTCAAGACCTTATCCAATAAAGTAGAGGGCCAGACATGGTCAGGACCTTATCCAATAAAGTAGAGGGCCAGACATCAACTGGGTCAAATGGTCATTGCCTTTCGTTTTCGTTAATTATTTTTATTATGTTATGTTGATGTCCAAAAAATAGAGTCAATTATAAAGTAGGCATGCTCGCAGTCGTTGTCATTCTTCGTCGGCCGGTGATGCTGGGATCTGTACGAGAGGCAAAATTAGTAACAACCTTGGCATGGGTGTGGTACCGGCAGAGTAACAGTACACGTGCCATATGGTAAACATGCTATAAGTAAAATTACCATTAACCAAGTTCCCCGATTCTAATTCCTTTATTTTCCTATTTAAGTTCCTTAATTTATGGTTTGCACCATTCCTTCCTGAGAGGTAAACATATCATAAGTAGAATTACCATATAGGAACTGGCCATTAAAACTTCTTTTTTCACTCCAAGGGCAAGGATCTTGTAGCTCAAGTGATTAAGGATATTTACTTTGCATTCAAGGATATTTATTTATAAAAATAAAAATAAAATATTCATTTTTATTCCAAGGGCACTACTCCCTTTTGAAAAGAATAATTTGGTACATGAAGTTGAAATTGGATAAAATAAGCACACAATAATATTACACACATACATATATGAGCCATGACCCTATGCAAAAAGCTAGAGCCAATATGACTACTGGGCAGTGCTTTTGGCCAAGACAAACTTCTCTCTTGTATGTTTCACATAGTCAAGCAGTCTTCCATGATCAGGCAGGCTCTCTTTGATCACAGGCACTTGCTTAAAATTCTGAGCCCATGCATGCAAGCGAGGCAGAGTGCCTGGTTCTAGCACTTTTTTCCCTACTGCTTCTTCCACGCATTCAAACCAGTAACTCAGAGCTCCACAGGCAATGTCCCCCAGACCAATAGTGTCGCCGCCGAAGAATATTTTGTCTCCAAGGACTTGTTCTTCCAAGATTTTTAGAGCTTCATGCAACTCTTTTGTTGCCTTTTCTTGTTCTTCGTCTCCAACAGCTCGAAAATATGCACCAAGGCTGGGCCTTATCTGGAAAGGAGAACAAAAAAAGAAGAGATCGATGTCAATATGTTTTCAAATTCAGAGTCTCCTACGCGTAAAATGTAATTAATTACCTTCTCTACTCCAAATTGTATCCAAAATCGAGCAAGGGCTTTTTCATGAGGATCTTTTGGAAGCAATGGCTTCTCTGGCCATGTTTCTTCGATGTATTCGAGGATGATGAGGGACTCAGCAATCGTCTTGCCTCCATGGACAAGCACTGGCACCTTCTTGTAAACTGGGTTGGACTGCAAGAGCAACTGGCTCTTGTTTGAAAGGTCTTCCTCTATGTACTCATAGCTCACACCCTTGAGCTTTAGAGCCCATATCACCCTGTGAACAAAAAAGCTTGGCCAAAATCCCAGCAGCTTCACTTCTGCCATTGTTTTGTGGTGAGATGTTAATTTGAAACAAATGGGTTTAGAGTCTCTCCTCTCTTGGTGCCAGATAAATTCAGTTATACATATATAGAAATATGTCGCAATCTCCTATGCTTGGGCGATAAGTTTCAAAGTTGAAAATGGGAATAAACAAACCAAAATCTTTAAAATGTCTTCATTTTGATGATATTAAATTATGTGCTCACCTAAACCTTATAGCTTTTCCTGAGTAGTCAATTAATCACCTCTGTGGGTCTTATCTTTGAACATTTCTAATTATTATTATCCATAGGTTTGCGATAAGTTTCAAAGTTGAAAATGGAATAAACAAACCAAAATCTTTAATTTTTTAATTTAAAAAATAAACCAAAGGATTAGGCGAGATTAGCTCCTCCGTATCGGTCATCGGATGCACAAACATCTACTATTGAAACGATAATTTTTACGTCTGTTGGACGTGAATTTTTCACGAAAAAAAAAGGGGTGGCAACCCATTTAAAATAAAATAAAATAAAATGTAAGCCGTAAACTTGTATTTGAATGGGACTGAAATATTCTTCCCTGCAAGTTTATCAAAAAAATATAAGTGTTTGTCAAGTATCAAACACTGAAAGATAAGCATCCCAGCCGAGAAGTGGCTATTCACTTCAACTCAAACTCCTCAAATCTCGTGGTCTATAAAAGAGTCATGCCTATGATAAAAAAAGGAGGACATAAGGCAAAGAGGAGAACAGCCGCAGGAAGGAAAAATTAGCAAGCACACTTCAGAAAGGGAAGATCCATTTCAAGGTAAAAGAAATTAGTTTCATGGCACAATTTTCTGGTTTTTTTGCTCAAGACTGCAGGTTTCATTCAACTCAAGGGTTCCTGGCTATGACGATTTCTATCATCATGAAAAGGGCCAGGAATCTCTCAAAGGGACAGCTCTGCTCAAGTATTTCCGAGGATACGATCTGAACCAGTTTGTTTGATCAATACACAGAGATTCTTGGCTATGATGATTTTAATCATCATAAACAAAGTTAAGAATCTCTCCAAGGCTTGGCTCCGCTCAAATAATTCCAGCAGTTTGTTTGATCAATCCACAGAGATTCTTGGCTATGATGATTTCAATCATCATAAACAAAGTTAAGAATCTCTCCAAGGCTTGGCTCCGTTCAAATAATTCCATCAATGTTTTCAGTCCACCACCAGCAGGGAAGATTGTCTTCCATGATGATTTCAAGGGTTTAGAAAAAGCTCCGATTAAATGGTTCCAAATGCAGAGAGCCAGCAGAAGAAGAGATAATGGAACAAAATAAAAATGGTGGGTTTGCAAAGAAACAAAACAAAGAGGAGCTTAAAAAAAATAAAAGGGGGTTGTTCGCACAGCCATCCTCTTTTGATCTGCTTTGATTAAAAAGGGGAGTAAAGAAGTAAAAGAAATATGGTGGCTGGTCCTGTTTTTTGTGCAAAGAGACAAAATAAGGGGCAATGTAAAAAAAAAAGAAGAAGAAGGGTGATGAAATAAAAGAAGGGGGCTGTGTCGCACAGCCCCTCCCCCTCTTGAATCAAAATTAGCGGTCAGCTTTGATTGGAAAAATGAGTAAAGAAAAAGCTCTCAATATTGAAGAAGACAAAGCAAATACTCAACCCAAATTTGTCTTTATGAAGCAAGAAGACAAACTGCTCCTAAAGCTCTCAACGTGGCCTACAGCAAAGCACTTTCTCAACCTGCATATTCAAAGAGAGACGTCAGCTACATGGAAACAAAGTATATATATATATATATAATAGAAGAAAAGGAAGACATAGCATGTGGGTTACCACGTGAAATCTCAGAGGAGAAGAAACAATTTGTTTCTTTTTTTTTTATGGTGCAACAGGTGGCTTGACCAAAGCTATGTGCTGGTCTGGAGAAGCAAACGAAGAATAATATTAAGTCTTTCGTTTTGTTGCTGTTTGCTGGTGCTCATGTGTTTTTTTTTATAAGAAAAACACATATAGCCTAATCCTATATGGACAAGAAGTTTACTTTACTGGATGATTCAGGAGTTCCAAATCAACAAGGAGCTTAATTCAGGCTCTTAGATTTGTCGACGTAAAATGATATTTGGACGTCGTTCTTTTACAAAAACAACGTTATATGGGAATATCCGCGTCTCTTTTTTATTCTTATGTCGTTAAATATATTTTTTAGAAACACGGCTGTCTTTTACGTGATGACGACGTTGTATATAAAATAATACGTCGTTTATATAAATAAATATGTCGTAAGTCATGAGCCTAACATATTTTCCACGTCGTTTATTTTCAGATCATGTTGTTAATATAAATTTATACGGCGATCGACTGAAAATTTGTGCCGTTTCAAAAATATTAGGCGACGGTTTTGTGTTTAAAGATGACGTATAAATTCTGAAACACGGTTGTCTTTTAGTTGTGGACGACGTTGTTTATTCAATATAACGTCGTTTATAGAAATACATGTGTCATAAGTAATTACCCTAACCGCTATTTCCACGTCAATATTAATGGAAAAAACGAAGTGGAAAAATCATTTCACGACGGTGATATAAATAGATGAGACGTAGTATGTTTTAATAACGTCGTATTTTATTTATTTAAAGACGTATTGTATTTATTTACACGACGTTTTTTTGTATAAAATAGGTCGTCTATTCTTATCCTTGACAATTTTTTGGCTCATTTTTCAGTATACAGACGTCGGTTGTTTTTTGTTAATGACGTTGTTTGTTATAACAACGATGGTGATTTACCGTCGTGATTTTACTTTGGAAAAGATGTCGGTCGATTTCACGATGGTTTGAAAACCCGATACACAACAGTGAATTCCCGTTGTCTTTTGCCTTTTTTGTAGTAGTGTCTCAGAGGAGAAGAAACAATCTGTTTCTTCTTTTTGATGGTGCAACAGGTGGCTTGAGCAAAGCTATGTGCTGGTCTGGAGAAGCAAACGAAAAATAATATTAAGTCTTTCGTTTTGTTGCTGTTTGCTGGTGCTCATGTGTTTTTTATAAGAAAAACACATATAGCCTAATCCTATATGGACAAGAAGTTTACTTTACTGGATGATCCAGGAGTTCCAAATCAACAATGAGCTTAATTCAGGCTCTACTTGGACAAGGATTCTTATCCTTAGGTGTCTTAATCAAATTAAAGGGCACTTGTTAATGGCACCAATCTGTTAGGCGCCCCGCTGGAGCAAAGCAAGGCCTTCGATTTACTATGTTTTGCTGAATGTAACCAGAAGGGAAAAAGAATAAAAGCCTGCGGTGGTGAACCCTCCTCATGAAAATGAGAAGAAAGTGGTTTTATTCCCTTTTGTTCCAACGCCACCTGCACAAAAATGAGACTCAAGATAAAAAAAAAAAAAGCAAACAAAATAGCCAAAGGTCACAAAAGACCTCAGTTTGCAAGTGGAAAGACCATGTGGGTTGTTTCCTCGAGCTTAGAAAACGTGATCAAGAAAGCTAAAGACTTGCGAAGGTTTAAGCTCGTTACCAAATCGTTGACAGCAATAGGCCCAACACGAAATTACAAGATTCGATGGCCCATGATATAATGGTCTCATACTCACAATGGGCTCGTCTCAAATCTCAAAACCCGATGATCTCAAGTCTCATTTTTTTTCAAGACTTCATGGTCTGAAATATAGTGGGCCCTTTGCAAGTCTCAAGCTCAACGGACTTATCCATTAAAAGATCCAGTTGGCGAACAGTTGGTGCAAAGTCTCAAGTCCACAAAAGATGGATTAATGGGCTTAAATTCTAAAATGCCCATTAATTCCCAAATCAACAAATTGAAGCCCAAGTGGTACAAAACCACATCAAAGGCCCAAGTGGTACAAAACAACGCAAATTAAATCATATTGGAATTACGTCGGTTTGATCCCGTCAAGGGTACGTAGGCAGTCTAGCACTCCAATAGACGCAACCGCAACCAAATTTGAATATCTGGTTTATCCTAACCAAATTCGCCAAAAAAAACACTTTTCCAAGTGCAAATGTCAATTTTAGAAAATTAGTGGGTTAATCAAAATTGCTCATTATTTTTCTTGGACATTGACAACAAGAAAGATGGTACAAAACCATCCAGTTTTCCCCATGGGTCATCTACCCATGAAAAATGGGACAAAACCATTCCAAATTTTCTCATGGGTCATCTACCCATGCAAATTTCAATGAGATTAAATTCAAATCTCTCAAACACAAATTCTCAATTAGTGGGCCACACTTACCCATTAATTTTCAATTTTTCTCACGGGTTATTTACCTATGAAAATCTCAAAATCTTCAGACTGTCTCAAAGACACAAATTCTTAATTAGTGGGCCACACTTACCCATTAATTTTCAAATCAATTCCGAACTACGTTGGTTTGATCCCTTTGAAAGGGTACGTAGGCAATCTAGAGACTCAATCTAGATGCAACCATCCAAATCTCAAATCCAAATTGAATCCTTGGTTCATTTTTTAACCAAATTCATCCCAAACACACATCAAAATCGAATCCCTGGTTTATTCAGCTAAATTCACTCAAACGTTTTTTCAATCAAATTCATTCAAATTCCATTTTTTGCAATGAGTCATTTATTCATTGCGAATCTTTGAACTACGAGTGGCTTGATTCTCGCAAGGGATACGTAGGCATCCTGAGGTTCGACTTAGGGGTAGCTGCAAAACCAAACACACACGTTTTGTTTCTTTATGATGGAATCAAAGGGTTTTCCCTTGAAGCAAGGGATTGTAATTAAGAGACTTGCGTCTCGAATGGGTCAAACCTAAAATAATAAAACCCCATTATTTAATTAGTGATGGTGAAATTATGTTGGGAGGTCCACATTTATCTTCAACATCCACCACCCTCAAAGAGGGGACCAACACTATGGAAGCCCCCCGCCCGTCCCCTTGATCATAATTTATTAATAAGAAACAAAAACATAAAAGAACAATAGGGGGGACCGAACCAAACCCTGCAGAAGAGAAAGACAATGACAGAAAAGCACAACAACATGCTGACCTAAGAGACCAAAACTCTGAAAGAGTAAACAAAAGAACCTAGGAGAATCGGTCATTAGGCATGCCTAGCCGGTCCCGCTGACAAAAAGGCAAAATAAAAGAAGGTGCAGTATCCCACCAAATTAAACTAGAGCCCAAAGCACCATGATTCAC